AGGGAACATGTCTCTAGGCTACCAATCTGCTGGTTCACTTTAGATGAGTTCAGTGCCCACAGGCCTGGTGATAAGTGCTTAGAGAAAGGTACTGTTTACAGATGAGAAAACATAAGTCACCCTATGGGTATGTCCTGCCTAAATCCATGACTGGGAAATACAAAAGAAATAAGACTAGTCTTGGCTGTATGCTTCTCAGATATAGCAAAAATAAAGAGACACAGTAAAAGCTGATGTAGGGATGGGAGTTACAATGATGATAACAGTGTAGAGATGATGATTGGGCCACTGCTGGGGTCTGATGGGGGCCTAATGGCAAACATGCTGCCTAGCCAGCTTGCATTCCTAGGCACATACTGACTGGAGCCCTCTCCCTGCAGGAGATAATAACCGGATCCCAGTCATCGGGCCCCTGAAGATCCGGGAGCAGCAGCGGTCTGCTGTCTCTACTAGTTGGCTGCTGCCCTACAACTATAGCTGGTCACCTGAAAAGGTGTTTGTGCACACACCTACGATCAACTACACACTGCGTGACTATCGCAGGTTCTTCCAGGACATTGGCTTTGAAGATGGCTGGCTCATGCGGCAGGACACAGAGGCTCTGGTTGAAGCCATGGTGCCACCTGGTGTGCGGCTACACTGCCTCTATGGCACAGGGGTTCCCACACCAGATTCCTTCTACTATGACAGCTTCCCTGACCGTGACCCTAAAATCTGCTTTGGCGATGGTGATGGCACTGTGAACTTGCAGAGTGCCCTGCAGTGCTGGGCCTGGCGCAGCCACCAGGAGCAAGAGGTGTCATTGCAGGAGCTGCCAGGTAGTGAGCACATCGAGATGCTGGCCAATGCCACTACCCTGGCCTATCTGAAACACGTGCTTCTTGGGCCCTGATTCTTGTATTAGGCAGGGCTACTAGATGGCTTGGCCACAGGGCCTCTTTTGGCCTCTGGGTCAATTATGGCCAGAAAATTTAGCAAAGTTTGTGATGAACCATTCAAGGCCCTAGGTTTTGGGCTATGAAGTATCTGCCACAGAGAAGTGCTATTTATCCTTCTGTGACAGTGAAGACAGAAGAAATCAGAGTCTGGACTCAAGGGACCCTTGACAGAAGGAATGCTGCTGATGGTGGAATTGTGACCTCAGGACTGGCTCTGTAAGGTGGATTGGCCGGCCCCTGGCCCCAATCCCCAGCCAGGGCCATGTGTTCCTCCTATTCCTATGGCCTTTTCACGATCACCCATTGGGCCCTGGCTCCTCAGCCTTCCTATGAGGGATATTACTATGTTGTGGTCTTATCCTCAAAGGTCCCAGGGATGGGCTTCTGGCTCCTTGGGTGACCCTTTCCACATGCTGGCCACAGGTAGGCCTGCCACTTGCCATGGGTAGCTGGAACTGCTGGCTTCCCTGTGTCTTCCTGGGGGGCATCCAAGTATCCCCTGCAGGCAGGGACAGTTAATTGTATTCTTTATGGTTTCTAGCCCCTGGGACATTGACTCCACTCCTACCTCCCTCACCTTCAAGAGCAGTTTAGCTCTGGATTCGGTAACAGATGGGCCTCTAGTTCTGGAGGCCATGTCCCAGGAGCCCTGATCTCCTCAGTTGTGCTGTTGACCCAGTATTAAAGCTACCTGCCTTCACCCTGGGATTGCAGTTCAAGGATGAGGGCAGAGGCCAGTGCCATGGCCTTCTAGGTACCTGTGAAGAAAAGGAATTCAAGGAAACAGTCAAGGTTGCTCATAGTTACCCCGAGCTGCCCACTTGCTAACCCCACTATCACACTGCCACTCTGCCCTAGGGTCTCTCTAGTACCCAAGTGGGTTGGCTTGGGACTGAGAGGTGTTGAGGCGCCTGCCCAGTCCCTGCTCCCACCAGGCAGCTAAGTAGTATTTGGTCTGCAGGGACCAGTTCAGAAACTTGAGTAGGCTGCCGAAAGAGCAGGTACCCTAAGGCCTTCCCTCTGGGTTTTCTGTCTGTCCAGGGATGCTGTATGGGGTCTCCGTGTGACAGCTGTCTGGGCCTTCCCTGGTAGCAGTGGACTTCAAGTAGGCAACTGGCTATAGTCTAATAGTTGGGTTCAGCCTCTAGGTTGGGGTCCCAAAGCCACACTTAGGCTGGACTGAGTTGTCCCACAAGGTTTCTGTGGAGCTGGATTTTCTCTGTTTCGTACATACCTGGCATCTGTCTCTTCCTTTGTTCCTGAGTTGTGGGCCCTGCAGGAGGCTGGCTCTGAGTGGGCTGTACCTCGATTCTGGCAATAAAAGTATTTTGGATGCTGTAAGGGGCCCTGGGCAAGGCTCTGCTCTGAGCATGAGAGGAGGGAGGTGATAATGGTATGAGGGGGCTAAAGAGGCCTATCCAGCCAGAGGCTGGACCTTTATTGAGGTCTTTGTGGGTTCTCTCAGCACCAAAGTATGGCTCTGTTGCTCTTCTTTGGGCTTCATCCTGCTGCTCTCGCTTCTGGAATCCAGTTCCCTATCTGGGACTAAAAACAAGAACCTGAAACATGCCCATTGTTATGGGGCCCCTGCCCTCCCTTTGCTCCTGCATGGTCAGCAGACCCCACATGCTCCTTGTTCTTGGGAGCAAGGATAGTCCTGCAGGACACCCTCGCTAGACTCTCCTGAGCCCATATACTCCCTCAGCTTATAGATCTCAGCATCATTTGAACCTGGAGTTCTTTTTTAGAATACTACCCTTTTCCTTCTGCTTACTCACCAGATTTTGCCTTTCCAGCTCATCTGCCTCACATATATTCCTTTTGGGGGACAGAGAGAAACTGAGGGAGGAAGAGAGACTAGGTTGAGACTGGTATGGACATAAAACAAGATGGACAGAGGGAGATACGGAGAGACTGGGGAGCTACTGGAGATAGACAAGACAGGGAAACAGAGACAGAAATAGGGAAACATGGGTAGGAATGGGGCCCAGGGCTGAATTTTGTGCTCCAGAGCCTGGAGCCAATGCAGCTAGTACACTTTGGAGCCCTAGTTTCTGTCTTTTCCAGAGTCCCACCAGCCTGGTCCTAGGCTTTGATATATCACAGGCCAGGAGAGGGCGCTCTGAACCCTCTACAGCCAACTCAGCCCAACCCGAAAGGAAGGGGTGGCCCAGAGAGAAGGTGAGATAAGCCCCTGTGGCTCAGATAACAGGATCAAATGAAAAGGAGCCTCACCCCCAATCCCTGTCCAGCCTGACTTCCAGCTCAGCACTGAGACCCACCCACCTCTAGTACCACCTGTGATGGCCTCATAGCTACCCTACTCCTGCCTTGTTTCAGCCCGGTGGTGGCAGTACAGAGAAGACATGGAGTCAGAGCAGGTTTCAGGACCAGCAGACCTGGGTGCAAGTCCCAGCTCTTGTCAAGTAACCTGGGGAGACTCCTGCCCTCCTTGAGGCTACGTTTCCTCCTCTGAAGAATGGGGGCAATTCCCACC